AAAAGATCTGTGAGAGAAAACTTGAGTTATTATATCACATTACATATACATTACACATATGTTTAAAGATGTAAGTCTCATTCATTCTGGAACAATAATTAGGAAAACCATCAAAATCAAGAGTATTTACAGTACTCAGTGTGTATAAATTGTGAAAAGAGCTAATCAAGTGAACTTGAGTTACCATTGTGTATAAATTGTGAAAAGAGCTAATCAAGTGAACTTGAGTTACCATTGTGTATAAATTGTGAAAAGAGCTAATCAAGTGAACTTGAGTTACCACTGGACATGCTACAAACTGTCAAATGTTTTACCAATTAATGTCCAATAACTGTGAAACTAAAATTCTAAACATCATCAAAATCAAAACAAAGCTTGTTTGAATGGAACTTAACTGATGCAAAATCTTTTTAAAAAGTTTAACTTCAGTTATCATCAGATAATTTCTTAATTGTTCAATTTCTAATGATTTGAGATAATTTTTGTAATTGTTTAATTTTTTAAGATTTAAAGTCCATTAACTCTCAAATCACAAATATGATAATTGTGTATCAAAACAGAGCTTAATTCTTTTTAAATTAAGCATTGTTTAAAATATTCATAAAACATTCTCTGGAGTCTATCATGAGAAATGGTAAGACATGAAGCCATACAACTGACTGTTTACCATATAAGTTCATCCTTGTGCGTAAATACCAATCCCATTATTTTCATTCCTCATTGAAAATAAAGCAATAAATTAATACTCAGTCTGTTAAGATGTTAACCAACTTATTAAATCGAGACAAAAGAAAACATTTCAATGCAGTATTCCTGTCATTCGTGACTTTATTTTAGGTATCATCAGACAATTTTCAATTTTGTTATGGGCATGTGAAGATTCACTACTTGCATGCAATTGACATAATCTGATCTGGAAACAAGAGCTTCCCACTTGACGCAAATGACAATCTAATATGGAAGTGTCTAAATGAATCAAGCCCAGTTAATATTGTTGGAGTTAGAGAAAACATTGTTTTTTTAACTAAATTACTTTTATACTGAACAAATTACATTTTCAATTCCATGTATGGTCATATAAAGACATGACAGGGTTAATTAGTTTTCATTTTTCTTTAGAAGACTCAGAAATATGTACTAGAGTCAACAGAGATTTTGAAACAACCAAATCTGAGGAATGAATTTACGACATATAATTAGGTCAATGAAGTATGAAATATAGTTATATAAATCATTTACTGTAATTTCAGACTTTTTTACAATGTTTTTATTCGACCGCAAAAAAATTTATGTGGTCGTATATTGGTATGACGTTGGCGTCGTCGTCTTCGTCTGGCGTCGTCCGGCGTCGTCCGAAGACACATTGGTTTTCGCACTCTAACTTTAGTTTAAGTGAATGGATCTCTATGAAATTTTACCACAAGGTTCAATACCACAAAAGGAAGGTTGGGATTGATTTTGGGGGTTATGGTACCAACAGTAAAGGAATTAGGGGCCAAAAAGGGGCCAAAAATAAGCATTTTTGTAACTTCCAGACATAACTTGTGTGTTAGTGTATGGATCTCTCTGACAATGTACCACAAGGTTCCATATCACAAAAGGAATGCTGGGATTGATTTTGGGGGTAATTGCCTCAAAATTTTAGGAATTAGGGGCCAAAAAAGGGGCAAAATACAAGCATTTTTCTAGTTTCATGACAATAACTTGTGTGTAAGTGTATGGATCTTTCTGAAATTGTACTACAAGGTTCCATATCACAAAGGGAAAGTTGTTTTTGAGTTTGGGGGTAATTGCCCTAAACGTTTAGAAATTTGGGGCCAAAAAGGGGCCAAAAAACACATTTTTCTAGTTTCCAGACAATAACTTGTGTTCAAGTGTATGGATCTCTCTGAAATTGTACTGCAAGGTACCATACCACAAAGGGAAGGCTGGGATTGAGTTTGGGGGTGATGAATCATAAGGGGGTTCAAAAAATTTGGGGGGGGATTTTTTTTCTTTCCTTTTTTTTCTTTTTTTCCTTTTTTTTTTCTTTTAAAATTTTCCATTTTAAGTTGGTTATTTCTGATTTATATTTAAAAGCAAATAATAATGATATGGTAGGAGATACACACCAAACAGGATGTGTAAATTATTATATAACAAGTATTGTGCAATAGCAAGAAATTTTCAATTGCACAGTATTGCACAATAGCAAGAAATCTTCAATTGCACGGTATTGCGCAATAGCAAGAAATCTTCAATTGCACAGTATTGTGAAATAGCAAGAAATATCCAATAGCACAATATTGCGCAATAGCAAGAAATTGTCAATTGTACAGTATTGCGCAATAGCAAGAAATATTTAATTGCACAGTATTGTGCAAAAGAAGATACTTCGTATAAATTGCTTATTTCTTGACCAATTTCAATGGGGTTTTATTCTTGAATTCTTGGGGTTCTTTAATATGCTGAATCTAACCGTGTATTTAGTTTTTGGATTTTCGGCCCCATTTTTAAATTGGTCCACATTGAGGTCCAAAGGGTCCAAAATTAAACTTTGTTTGATTTTTATCAAAAATTGAATTATTGGGGTTCTTTGATATGCCGAATCTAACCGTGTATTTAGATTCTTAATTTTTGGTTCCGTTTTCAAATTGATCTACATTAAGGTCCAAAGGGTCCAAAATTAAACTTAGTTTGATTTTAACAAAAATTGAATTCTTTGGGTTCTTTGATATGCTGAATCTGAACATGTATTTAGATTTTTTATTATGGGCCCAGTTTTCAAGTTGGTCCAAATCGGGGTCCAAAATTAAACTTTGTTTGATTTCAACAAAAATTGAATATATGGGGTTCTTTGATATGCTGAATCTAACCATGTATTTAGATTTTTGATCCCCGTTATCAACTTTGTCCACATTGAGGTCAAAAGGGTCCAAAATTAAACTTTGTTTGATTTCATCAAAAATTGAATTCTTGGGGTTCTTTGATATGCTGAATCTAACCATGTATTTAGATTTTGGATATTGGACCATAATAGGTGAATGTACAATTTAAAATTTTTAAGTTCTTAGACCACATTCATTCTGTGTCAGAAACCTATGCTGTGTCAAATATTTAATCACAATCCAAATGCAAAGCTGTATCAAGCTTGAATGTTGTGTCCATACTTGCCCCAACTGTTCAGGGTTCGACCTCTGCGGTCGTATCAAGCTGCGCCCTGCAGAGCATTTTATTATTATTGCGAAAATTAGAATTGACAGAATAGGTTTAACCCGTTTTGCAAAAATAAAAACTCACATTTCTTATTTAGACAGCTTTATTTGTTTGCAGCATTTTCTGAAATGGCAGTAATTAAATTTGTGTCTTATTTCATTGTTGAACGTTCAACAATCAACAATGGCAGTAACAAAACCACACGAAAATTTCTGAAATCACCGTAGATGTAGATTACCATTTAGAATGCAAGACAGAGTCATAGACAATAAATGGGGATTGTGTCCATGGGACACAGATGATGCCCCCGCTTGCATATTATATAAAGTTATAAAGGGACATAACTGAAGAACGGTAAAAGTGATGCTACCCAAATTTGTACTTGATCTGAGTTTTGTGGTAATAGGTATTGTGTATAAGTTTCATAACATCTGGTTGAGGCAAACTTAAGTAAGAGAATGGAAACGAAAAATTCAGCAATTTTTCCATTTGTAAAGGGGCATAACTCTAGAACAGTAAAAGTGACACACCAAAAATTCAAACTTGATCTGTATTTTGTTGTAATAAGCATTGTGTATAAGTTTCATAACATTTGGTTGAGGCAAACTAAAGTGAGAAACCAAAAATTCAGCAATTTTATCTATTTGTAAAGTGGCATAACTCTAGAACGGTTAAAGTGACGCCACCAAAATTCAATATTGATCTGTGTTTTGTGGTAATAAGCATATTGTATAAGTTTCATAACATTTGGTTGAAGCAAACTAAAGTTAGAGAACGGAAACTAAAAATTCAGCAGTTTTTCCATTTGTAAAGGGCATAACTCTAGAACTGTTAAAGTGACGCCACCGAAATTCAATCTTGATCTGTGTTTTGTGGTAATAGGCATATTGTATAAGTTTCATAGCATTTGGTTGAAGCAAACTAAAGTTAGAGAACGGAAACCAACTTTGGGACGTACGGACAGACGAACCGACGGACTGACGTAGACAGTCAAGGCAAAACTTAATGCCCCCTCCACTATGGCGGGGGCATAAAATGTCAGGAACAATTCAACTGTCAATTTATCCTTTGATTAACAAAAGACTTATTTTTTAAATTCTTTTTGTAACTTTATAAACCATTATAAATATTTAACAAATTTTGTTCACAAAATCTACTATTAAACCTTAAGCTGGCCACGTGTCTTGTTAATTTACTGGCTTCATTGTGCCAAAAAATATAACCTTTGCATGATTAAAATTTAACCATTTTAATTAACAATGATATTTAAAGAATAATTCCTAATGTATACTTTGAATTTATTTAATGAAAAGGAATTCATTTGAAGAATTTGATTATACATATATCCTAACTAAGTAGTAATGACTTTTTATCCTGTGACTTTTTGCTTTACTAACTTTTATGACCTTCTCTCCTCCTTTTACCTGACCAAATATCTAAAGGTCAAGCATTATGCCCTGCATTCTTCAGACTAAGTATCCCTGTGTGTACAGTAATACATTTTACACCAAGATGTCATTAACTTAATTATCTATTATGCTTTCCCATAAAACAAGATCACATTGCAAAAAGCCCCCCTCCTTCTAAAATATTAGCCCTTGTCAGTACATCAAATACTTACATCGTAATACAGAAGCTACAGATATATGTTATTTGTTATCTATTGCCATCTCCGTATTTTGTTAAAATGAGTTCCTTGTTCATGTAACATACATCCTATATAAAGATTAGTATTTTACCATTAAACTATCTTTAGCTTCCCTCCAAGTAATAATTTATGAATAATAATTTATATATAGGTTTACCTGTACATCCATGTTTATCCTTCCAATGTCAAACCATCATTAACATTTTCTCTGACCTAGAAAAAAACCACAAAAATTTCCATAAGTTGAAGTACTTTATATCAACAGAATGTCCTCTTGGGGAGATTTTTTATTCCTTTTGTTGTCCTCTTGGGGAGATTTATTATTCCCTCTGTATGCTTAACAACTAGCAAATACATGTATGGTTCCAGTAACTGGCAAACATTTTTTTTACTTATGATTTTTACTGTGATACTTTGCCCAAGTATTTTTTTGTACTTTTTTTCATAAAATGAGATGTTGGATGGAACATATTAATCAATATCAAAGACAAATATAAACAACACAACAAAATCAGGTCTTTAACAATAAACAACATTAATGTCTATATTACAAGCTAAAAATCAACAACAACAACAAAATCAACTTGTCAATAGATGTATCAGAAATTTCATTTGATTGCTGTTAGGATATATTTAATTATCCCTTTGAAATTGTTTAATATTTTGTTTTCAGGAGCTGGTTACTGTTATTCACTTTCTTTCTGGTGAAAAGGAAATTGTCTTGTTCTCAATCAAAACAATATTTCCATATTCTGTGTATTATAAAACACTTGAGTAAGTTGTTACAGGATCTTAATATTTCATCTACAAACTCTAGCAAAAATGTATGTGGAAAAACAAACAAAGTAAATTTTGGTAATAAAATGTTAACAATTTCGGGGTAAAATTGGTGTATTCCTGGCATGCCTACATTTTATACAAAATATATTCCTCAATGCCTACAAAAAAAATTGAATAGATGTTGTTTTAGTAAACAGGTGTTGTTTTATGATTAGGAAAAGTAAAAATTATTTTTCACCTAAAAAGATAATTTTTGTTTCAATAAAAATTTCATTCAAATGAAATGGAATAATGGTATTAAAATTTTTAAGTAAAAAATTAAGACTAAGAAAAATAGTATTAACATTCAAAGTAAAAAATAATAAAATGCTTCGCTGGGGCGCAGCTTGATACGACCGCAGAGGTCGAACCCTGAACAGTTGGGGCAAGTATGGACACAACATTCAAGCTTGATACAGCTCTGAATTTGGATTGTTATTAAATATTTGACACAGCATAGGTTTCTGACACAGAAAGAATGTGGTCTAAGAACTTGAATTTTTTTAATTTACCTATTATGGTCCAATGTCCAAAATCAAAATACATGGTTAGATTCAGCATATCAAAGAACCCCATATATTCAATTTTTGTTAAAATCAAACAAAGTTTAATTTTGGACCCCAACTTGGACAAACTTGAAAACTGGGCCCATAATCAAAAATCTAAACACATGTTTAGATTCAGCATATCAAAGAACCCCAAGAATTCAATTTTTGCTAAAATCAAACTAAGTTTAATTTTGGACCCTTTGGACCTTAATGTAGACCAATTTAAAAAACGGGACTTAAAATTAAAAATCTAAATACACGGTTAGATTGGGAATATCAAAGAACCCCAATAATTCAATTTTTGATGAAATCAAACAAAGTTTAATTTTGGACCCTTTTGACCTCAATATGAACCAATTTGATAGCGGGGCCTACAAATAAAAAATCTAAATACATGGTTAGATTCAGCATATCAAAGAACCTCATATATTCAATTTTTGTTGAAATCAAACAAAGTTTAAATACTGGACCCTATCTTGGACCAACTTGAAAACTGGGCCCATAATCAAAAATCTAAACACATGTTTAGATTCAGCAAATCAAAGAACCCCAAGAATTCAATTTTTGTTAAAATCAAACTAAGTTTAATTTTGGACCCTTTGGACCTCAATGTAGACCAATTTAAAAAACAGGACCCAAAATTAAAAACCTAAATACACGGTTAGATTTGGAATATCAAAGAACCCCAATAATTCAATTTTAGATGAAATCAAACAAAGTTTAATTTTGGACCCTTTTGACCTCAATATGAACCAATTAGATAACGGGGTCCACAAATAAAAAATCTAAATACATTGTTAGATTCAGCATATCAAAGAACCCCATATATTCAATTTTTGTTGAAATCAAACAAAGTTTAATTTTGGACCCCAATTTGGACCAACTTGAAAACTGGGCCAAAAATCAAAAATCTAAATACATGTTTAGATTCAGCATATCAAAGAACCTCATATATTCAATTTTTGCTAAAATCAAACAAAGTTTAATTTTGGACCCTTTGGACATTAATGTAGACCAATTTAAAAACTGGACCCAAAATTAAAAATCTAAATACACTGTTAGATTCGGCATAACAAATAAATAAATGTGATCAAAGATTTTACAAATCTAATGCGCCATACTGTGCAATTAAAGATTACTTCTTGAAATTTTTTAATATTTGAAATTTGAAAAAAAAATAATATTTGAAGAATAATTCTTTTTAATTTCTGAAATCTGAAATGAGAAAAAATTGGCCCCCCACAATTTCTTTTTATCCCCCCCCCCTTTTTCCCCCAAAAAAATTCTTTCCCTCAAGATATGGTCATAATCTCAATTCAAATTTCCAATGGAGATGGCAACCATAATTACCCATTTAAATTTACCATAGTGCTAACTTAATCATGTTAATCTATTTTATAATAGAATTAATAAAAATATAGTGTCAAATCTTTCATATGGATTTTTTTGTAAAAAAAAAAGATGAAACATTTGCAGATATTTTTACTGGTCTTCCTTTATAAATATATGTATTTCTTTAAAAATATGCATTTCTTTAAACATAATTTAAAAGCAGTGTAAGGGAAGTAACCAAAACGTTATATTTGGATTACCTCCCTTACACTGTTTTAGATTATCTTTATTGTTCATTAACCATTACTTTATACATAATTTAAAAGCAGTGTAAGGGAGATAATTTCAATGATGTATTTGATTTATCTCCCTTACACTGCTTTAAATTATGTTTTGTACTAAAGTATTTGTCCATTAACCAGGACAACCTTGTTTTTCCCCCTTTTTTGCCCCTAATTCCTAAACGGTTTGAGCCATAACCCCCCAAAGCAAATCCTAACCATCCCTTTGTGGTATGGAAACTTGTAGTATAATTTCAGAGAGATCCATACACCGTTCCACAGTTATTGTCTGGAAACTAGAAAATGCTCATTTTTGGCCCCTTTTTGGCCCCTAATTCCTTAACTGTTGGTACCATAACCCCCAAAATCAATCCCAACCTTCCTTTTGTGGTATTTAACCTTATGGTCAAATTTCAAAAAGATCCATTCACTTAAACTAAAGTTAGAGTGCGAAAACCAATATGTATTCGGACGGCGACGCCGGACGACGACGACGCCGGACGACGACGACGACGCCAACGTCATACCAATATACGACCACAAAATTTTTTTGCGGTCGTATAAAAACTGAAGCAAAAATTTGAAAAAAAACGACTGTTTAAAGTACATTTGTAAATAAGATTCATTTAAATGTTCAAGTATTATTCATAGAAATATTTAATATATGAGCAAACCAATTCTTGGTACGACTGCTGCTGTATTGCCATTGTTGCCAGTAGAAGAAGTCAAAGATGTCTGGTTTAATGCTATAGAAGATCTTAAGAGGCCCTTACAAGATGCCAGCAACTACAGTATGCAGCAGGAGGAAAGTGTGTTTTACGGAAGCGAAAATACAGGGGAATTGAAGACAGACTATCCAGCCTAAAGATACAACACCAGAATGGAGAGATTTCAACAGTTCAATTTGCAGATGCATGTATGTTTCGTTTACATTCACTGAGCTTGAAAATTTCATTTCAAATATACAGCAAAATACAAATAAATGGGGAAGGTGTCCATGGGACACAGATGATGCCCCCTCTTGCATATAAGGTTATAAAGGGATATAATTCAAGAACTGTAAAAGTGACGCTACCCAAATTTGTACTTGATCTGAGTTTTGTGGTAATAAGCATTGTGCATAAGTTTCATAACATTTGGTTGAGGCAAACTAATTCCTAAACGGTTTGAGCCATAACCCCCCAAAGCAAATCCTAACCATCCCTTTGTGGTATGGAAACTTGTTGTATAATTTCAGAGTGATCCATACACCGTTCCACAAGTTATTGTCTGGAAACTAGAAAAATGCTTATTTGGGCCCCTTTTTGGCCCTAATTCCAAAACTGTTAGGACCATAACCCCTTAAAATCAATCCCAACCTTCCTATTGTGGTTATAAACCTTGTGTTTAAATTTCATATATTTCTATTTAATTATACTAAAGTTATTGTCCGGAAACCAACTGTCTTCGGACGACGACAACGACGTGATACCAATATAAGACCTCAAAATTTTTTGTGGTCGTATAAAAACACTAGTCTGTATATCTTAATGTTCCTCCTTTTCATTTATCAGTAAAATCTTATTGATTAATTGATTGTTGCTTGCAAGGACTTAGGTAAAAACAAAATTTTAAAATATTTCTTCTTTAGATGCTATTTTTATCATTGTTAAAACGAAAAAGCTTCTGTTCAATTTCAATAAAATTCTATGAACAGTAGTAGAGGTTTGGCAGAGTTTTTGATATCTAAAAAAGACTTTAATCAGAGCTTAGTCTATTTATTCAAATAAGACACTGAAGCTCCTTTTACGGAAAAACCTTTTATGGAAAAACCGTGTGGCATTACAATCTATGCCATTAAACCTGATTCTAAAGAAATCCAAACTATAACAAAGAGTGAATGTCATAGTGACAACTTTTATTGAAGTGCTGAATTAAAGGCTACTTTTTTATTGTATATATGATCATATAAAAATAACAAGATACATTTTGTAACTATACAGATGATTTGAAATATACAAACATGAAAAATTCCAGAAGAATTTCAGAAGACCACAGAAAGGTACATCATCTTTCGATAAAATATTTTTTACATCCTTATTTCATTCTTTCTAACAAGTTAATGTTTGATGTGTACAATAACTGAATATACAGCTAGTTATTGTACAGTAGTGATGTCAGCTCAGCTAATATACAGCTAGTTATTGTACAGTAGTGATGTCAGCTCATCTAATATACAGCTAGTTATTGTACAGTAGTGATGTCAGCTCAGCTAAAGGCTAGTTACTGTACAGTAGTGATGTCAGCTCAGCTAATATACAGCTAGTTATTGTACAGTAGTAATGTCAGCTCAGCTAATATACAGCTAGTTATTGTACAGTAGTGATGTCAGCTCAGCTAATATACAGCTAGTTATTGTACAGTAGTAATGTCAGCTCAGCTAATATACAGCTAGTTATTGTACAGTAGTGATGTCAGCTTAGCTAATATACAGCTAGTTATTGTACAGTAGTGATGTCAGCTCAGCTAAAGGCTAGTTATTGTACAGTAGTGATGTCAGCTCAGCTAATATACAGCTAGTTATTGTACAGTAGTGATGTCAGCTCAGCTAATATACAGCTAGTTATTGTACAGTAGTGATGTCAGCTCAGCTAATATACAGCTAGTTATTGTTCAGTAGTGATGTCAGCTCATCTAATATACAGCTAGTTATTGTACAGTAGTAATGTCAGCTCAGCTAATATACAGCTAGTTATTGTACAGTAGTGATGTCAGCTCAGCTAATATACAGCTAGTTATTGTACAGTAGTGATGTCAGCTCAGCTAATATACAGCTAGTTATTGTACAGTAGTGATGTCAGCTCAGCTAATATACAGCTAGTTATTGTACAGTAGTGATGTCAGCTCATCTAATATACAGTAAGTTATTATACAGTAGTGATGTCAGCTCAGCTAAAGGCTAGTTATTGTACAGTAGTGATGTCAGCTCAGCTAATATACAGCTAGTTATTGTACAGTAGTGATGTCAGCTCAGCTAATATACAGCTAGTTATTGTTCAGTAGTGATGTCAGCTCATCTAATATACAGCTAGTTATTGTACAGTAGTGATGTCAGCTCAGCTAATATAAAGCTAGTTACTGTACAGTAGTGATGTCAGCTCAGCTAATATACAGCTAGTTATTGTACAGTAGTGATGTCAGCTCAGCTAATATACAGCTAGTTATTGTACAGTAGTGATGTTAGCTCAGCTAAAGCAATGTATCTTATTTACAGTATATATACACTGATCATTCCACAAAATTAATTATCGCAAATATAGCTGGTTTACAGATTGGATTCAGACTTCTATGATTGAAAACAAACATGCAATTAGTCTGTCTCATTGTGCAATAGTCTAGTAAGTAAAGTCTGTACCATCAAACAGATTGATTTGTTAGATATATAATGTATATGTATACCAAAAAATTCAGGTTTCACACTATTTTTCAAGACAAAAAAAACATCACAAAACTTTAACCTCACAATATATTTTTTGTGTGAAATATTTCTTAATGCATGATATAATGGAATTGCTGTTTATTGTCTATGTATGAAGATATAAATAAATCAAAGCAAGTGTAAAATACATGTAGGTATCTGAAATGACAATAGTTCAATGATTTGCAGCCACATCTCTATTCAAACCAACAGATGCCTTATGCAACATATATGGACATCATTTGCTGCTAAGGCATTCAGAGCATTCAAGCTAAGCTACAGATACTAGTATTTGGTTGTGTATCTTCTGATATACTTGTTAAATATAACAAGACCAATACCAGGATGGACCTGTGTTGCTGCATGCAATCGATTGAGGTAATATGTATACTGGAGCATAACTTATCAACTGATTCATTCCCTTTCACTAATGCCTCAAAACTTTGACGAATATTTCCTTTTACAATGATTGCTGTAAAACTATCAGCAAACAGGAAGTGGCAAGCCAGATGTAAAAGTTGCTCACTCGCTTCAACTCAACACCATCAAGCTGCAGACCAAATATTAAAATCATTCCCTTCAATAGGAGCCAAGAAAAGTTTTCTTTGTACAATGAGTGTTGTAAAATGTCAAAACTAGACCTTCTGACTTCGGCAATGCAAGTAAAAATTCTAAACACTGAAATGTGTTAGCTTTAAAAAAAATACTTGAAAATCTGTCCCTATCCCTTATCATGCATAAAATGTACTGTAAATTTATAAATTAATGTGTGCATTCATTATTACAAATCACTGATTACGGGTTAAAATACAAGATCTAATAAATGTGATTGCAAAAAAAAATTTGTGAAGGAAAATCATTGCTAAAATTATCATTGCAAACCTTAATCTGTCACATATTTTTCACATCAATAAAATATTGCAATAATTTCTGAATTTTGATATAAATACAGTTTAAGTATTTCAAAAACCATAAAAGTTAGCATCAGAAAGTGTTATACATGTCATTGTGACCAGAATACCATGAAATTTATTCAAATTTTAACATTACTTTTGACATCATTGACAAGTATTTTTGTCAGTCATCAAGATTACAAACCACCTAGGTTTAATACTTCAGTACTGGCACCATTTTTTTTTTGTAAATTATCACTTTGTATCTTGAAGATACAAAGTGATAATTGATTCTTGTGTAAGTGTACTAAAACTGAGTTTGGGAAATTCCTTAAGCTGACTAAACTGACTTTTTGTCTTTAAATTATCATGATTATATAAAACCTTTTTGTATTTGATGGTCCAAAACATTTCATGCATTTACAAGTACCTTCCAAAACATTTTTTCAATGGTATTTCAAAACACAGTTCTTACCAATTTCATAATATAATTATTTTCACACACAATCAAGAACAATTTTGTTATCTTTTTTTTTAAACAAGTTCAAAGGCTATTAGAATAAAATAATATTGACAGTGTGATAGTCCAAGGTATGTTTTAATATATATATATAAATGATTAGGCAGTATCATGACATTGACAATATACACATTCAGAGAATATATTAGGTAATATTAACTATTTGAGATGCAGTTGGGTATAACAGCTGGCCCTTCCAACTGAACATTTACAATGTATTTTAAGAAAACATTTTTATTTCAACAGTTTAAAAGACTACCATGTAGTATGCTTAGAGGGACAAATAAAAATGTACTATCATTGCTGTTTTTTCACATATATAGATGTATTACATTTCATAGTGGGATACCATCCCCAAACCAACTTTTAAGAAACATCCACTGTTTAGTAACACTGCTAAGAGTGACCTTGACCTATTCCTCTTCCCTATATCTTCCATGTTTTGTAATAACGAGAACAGAATGACCTGTGTGAATTACAAAAATATTTCTTTATTATTCCTTTACTACACTAGTTTAACCAAAAATGAGCATGAAATATTTGCCAATGTACAAAACCAACAACCAATGAATAATTTGGTTGACACTGGCAAAAAGAACCATAAGTTTCTTTAAACAATTTGAGAACCAATCTAAGATTTTTCTTAAAATGGTAGTGAACAAATTTTCTAAAAGAATGAACATTTGAAAAAATAACAAGGAGAGACTAAAATATGAGCATGAATTTTCCTTAACCTTTTCTGATTTCATGGGACGAGTTAAAGGCAGAGGCAGGTTTAGGGGGCAGGGGCCTTGGGTTATATTGTATATGATAAATGCATAGAATTTTTACAAGTATCACACCAAATGTTCTAGGAGGCCCCCTTTTTCAAAACCTTGGATCCACACCTAAATGTGTGGTTTAGCTAAAGCAGAATTTTCAAAGGACATAAGTTTATATCAGCTCCATGTAAATTCTTGGTAGACCTGCTAAATGTATTTTACAGTGAATTTGTTAAAGCAGGATAAATCCCTGGATATTTGGATAAAGTCAAATCACTAGCAGTTTTAGTGTTTTTTGAAATTGCTAGGAATTTTACAAAGTTAATGAAATTATGCATTGCTATGGATTTCACTGATGTTTAATACATGTATTTGTATCAAAAATAATTAAATTTGATATTGTGATAAGTCATGTGTACAAATCATGACAAATACAAAGATTAAAAAAATTTCCGTACTTATTTTTTAAAGGCATAATTTGCAGGGGCGGGTCCTGCCATTTATAAAAGGGTGGGTCCTAACCCAGGATAAAGGGGGATTCCAACTATATGTCCCATTCAAATGCATTGATCATGAAAAAAAGGGGGTTCCAACCCTCTGAACCCCCCCCCCCCTTTTTGGATCCGCCACTGATTTGGATGACATCTACAGACAATTGGAAGAGATAGTTCCTAAGTTAAGGTGTTACCCATTAACTTCAGATTTGTTCCAAACATGTTAAATGTCATACAATACCCTCTAAACACGGACATCGTTTAAGGTATATTATGCCAATTTATGGTAGCCAAGCTTAAACCATTTGTTTACATAAAATGTACAAATATTTGTCAACATTGCGCTGTGAGCAAATATTTCTGGAAACGCATAAGTTTATCTAAAATACTCTTTACCATATCTTTCGTAAATAAGTTTGGTAATATATGAAAGTCAACACTAAAGCCAATACACATATATAAGTCGGTCAGTAGTGTAAACATGAAACATGCTGCTCACGTTACCTATCGAGAGAAAATATGTATTTCATCTTGTTTTAGATGAATACGACTAAAAGCACAGCAGTTTTGCCATCATAACAAATTATAGTTTTAGAATATAACTTACTTAGTGCAACAGCTACATTACAGTCATCAGTTTACGTAGTTTTCGCTTTTAATTTGCCTTTTAATAGTGGAATCTAAGAAACAGACTGCTCGCACTTGTTATGGTGTCATGCGTGTTGACCTAGAAAATACCTTTTCAACGCCTGCGCCGTTTGTACAAATGTAAATAAGGTCAAGGCTGAATCGTAATACACAGAGGATCAAAGAGAGACAACTCAAAATGTGTACTCTAATTAAATACTCTAATAGATAGCAAAATTATCTCGCCTTGACCACTGACCCTTTCCTCATGCATTTGAACTATTATTTTATGTTTCTTTAATCACTCTTTAATGTTTATGTCATGTTGTTATTAATGTTATGCTCTTAATGGGCCCTTTAATTTGGAAAAAATAAAAATATTGTATTGTATTATTGTATTGCATTGTACTGTTTAAAAAGATTTGAAAAATTTCATCAAATATTCGATGTATCCTCGTGTATTGTATTTTCGACCTATTAACATATTTCTCCGAATTTCTCTTTTATCTTGTTGAACATATATATGTCTAATATTTTGGGAGTCACTATTGAATTATGAAAATCAGCTGAACTTCAGCTATTAGCCTAATGTGTCCCATTTGTATACTCTTAATTTCTTATACAAATCCTTGGATGTCAAGAAGAAAAAGCCGAAGGACCATGAAGAATATGTAAAACAGTGTTATAGTAGTTTCAGTTCCAGTATAAAGGGCCAGGAAGGCAGACAATGCCATCAATAATTCGAGATGAAAGCAAATAACATTTAATAAAATCAAGTGATATAAAACTTTCTCAAGTTAATATTTATAATAGGCAGCTCAAGCTTTCATGAATGTATGGCTTATATAAGGTTTATATATATATAGTTTTATTATAAGATTTGAGTCGAGTCCAGATGCTGTTTATATCAATGGGCGTAGAATTGATTGTCTTATGTACGCCGATGACATTATTATATTATCAAACACTAAACAGGGTCTTCAAAACCGACTTGATAAACTGCACACTTATTGTATTGATTGGTGTCTAGATGTAAACTTGTCCAAAACAAAAGTTTTAATTTTTAACAAGCCTGGAAAATTTTTGAAGGAATCACTTTGTTTAGATAATGAGGCTATAGAATGTGTTAACAGATATAAATATTTAGGGATAGTCTTTACTTCTAGTGGTCTTTTTCAGCAGGGGAAAGAAGAGCTATTCAAAAAGTCCTTAAAGGCAAAATTTAAACTACAAAAATCCATGTCAGCTTGTAATCCAAGTATTGATACTACAATCCATTTATATGATCACACAATAAAACCAATTTTATTATATTGTAGTGAAATCTGGGGTACCTTTAAGATTAACTCTGCTGCTTGCAAGAAAAAAAAGTGATTATCAATTTGAATTTATTTACATAAATGATTATTTGGAAAAATCACATTTCAGGTATCTAAAATATATTCTTGGTGTAAATAAAAAAGCCTCAAATTTGGCAGTGTTATCAGAGGTTGCAAGATTTCCTCTTTATTTTTCAGTCATTATATCTATGGTAAAATATGTGCACAGGCTTAACAAATTGGACGATGGGTTACTTTATGATGCTTATGTTTGTAATAAAATTTTAGATGCAGGAAACATTAATTGTTGGTATTCATCTATGAGATATGTCCTTCAATCACTTGATATACAAAATTTGAATACAAAGCTCAATAAATTAATTAAATTTGTAAAATGTAAACTTTGTAACAGTTTTAAAACATTTTGGGTGGTCAAAAGATCTGATACCTTATCACAAGGTAATAGTAAATTAGAAAATTATTTCAACCTCAAGACTGACTTCGTAAAGGAGGCTTATTTATCAATTAAAGATTTTAATATAAGAAGAGCTATATGTAAATTGAGAATAAGTGCACATGATCTTAAAATTGAGAAAGATAGATATAGTAAAAAATACATAGAGAGAAGTCAGCGTCTATGTCATCACTGCCTATCACATGGATCAAATTCTATTGAAGATGAGACCCATTTCACAGTAAGTTGTCCTTTATATAACGAACAGAGAAAATTATTATTTGATAAAGTAAACAGTTTTTGTAATAATTTTAAAGAATTACCCAAGGATAAAAAATATTTCTGGCTGTTCACAAATGAGCATTTACCAACTCTTATGTGCCTAGGCAATTATATAATTAAGTGTTTAGAAATAAGATCCAGGTGGATACAAAATATATAAAATAATATTTAATTATTATGAAATTATTGTTATAGTTATGTAAGACACATGATGTGTTAGGCTCTGATCCTGTCCATAATATGATAGTATTATATTAGGATCTAGTTTTTCTTTTTTCCAATCATATTGTGCTTAATATTGTTGTAAATGATGCCCTTTATGGGTTCTTGATTAGATTAATAAAATTCTTCTATATATCAAACCTATGATTGCGTTGGATAAAAACCGCAATTTTTATACGTGTGCATGCAAAAAAATTTCTTGTTAGAGGGGTCTAAATACAGCACAAACAACATTTTCCAAAAGACCAAAAAAGTGAAAAAGTATATTTTAACAAAACTCATTTGACTAACAGGTCGAACAACTGATGTTCTTACATTCTGCTGACTGCCATTGGCGATTGCCAAATAAATTGATCACCAGATGTAACATGGATCTTAATTTAAAATTGAATACCAAACAGAAAACAATAAACTTGCGGAAAAGATGGTATATCGCAAATATAAGGTGCAAAAATGTGTACACCATATCCAGATTTCGACAATTAATGTCTCTTCAGTGATGTTAGGGATCGAAACGGTATTTGCAAGGCCATATAATTAACCTCAATTTAGGATAGACTCTTGAATTTTGAAGAGTCGAAATAGGATGAACGGATCATATAAACCCGAAGGAAAATATAATACAAGCCCAAACGAAAAATATAAACAAGTCTAAATTGAAAACAACGTAAAATCTGTTAAACTCTTATTAAAAGCGGGGTAATATATATATATATTGTATAAGTCTAAATTGAAAACAACGTTCAAACCTATGATTGCGTAGGATAAAAACCGCAATTTTTATACGTGTGAATGTAAAACTAATTTCTTGTTAGAGGGGTCTAAATACAGCACAACCAACATTTTCCAAAAGACCAAAAAGTGAAAAGTATATTTTAACAAAACGCATTTGACTAACAGGTCGAACATATCATATCTATATGCATATCTACGCAGCCTCCATTGTAAGTACTTAATAAATCTGCGTGAAATTAATTTTTTTTAATTATACAAGTGTGGACACAGATCAGTGTGGATAGTATGATTGGATGTTTGACAGTGTTTTATATGACAAAAGGAGTTCTATGTTTTATGTTTTCTATGTATTAACTGTGTTGCACAATGACAACCAACATGAGCATTAGGGGTGTTGTTTATGTAATATTTAGTTTTTTATGTTCAACACGGGCATGGAAGAGATACTAATTGCATTAATTACCAAATGATTATGATAGAATATATATGTTCCACATCTTTGATTTTGGATACATTTTGTAGCTAGGAGAGGAACACATAATAGGTTCATTTTTTTCTTAATGTGATTTTTTTATATGGGAGATGGTATCTGAGAACATGTATTTGCTTACTATTTGTATAGTTCTATTTATATTACTTTGTGGGGGATTGTCAGTATCATAAGTAAAAGATTTCGGTTAAATGTGGAAATTGTTTCTCAGTTTAGAAGACATTTAATGTTTTTTAGTAATGACAATGCCTGACATGATGATTGGGGCTAGATGAGCTAGAACGTGAATTTCTGTGTTATTTTTTATTAATTCTTTGAAAATATCTCCTCCAAAGCTGGTCAAAGCAAAAAAAAGTTTTGACCAGTATGAAAATGATATCAACAAAAGAACCTTTGTGAGCATGCTTCAAAGACTCATAACTAACTACAGAAGTCATATGATAAAATGTCAAGTGGATATTATGAACATCTACTTAATATGTCTAAATATCTAAAAAGTTTTAGTATTCAATATGAAAAAGCTATTGCAAAAGTATTCTCTTTTCAGTTTTTTGTTGTTATATGGATACAAATTATAAGTGATACCAATACAGTAAGGCAGTTTTGTTATGGTATGAAAGTGTAGTAATTAACATTTACTGTTAATTCACACAAATTAAGAAATAAACAAATGAATGATAAATGTTGAACATGTACAATGAAATATATTTTAGAAATCAATTAGGCCAGATAGGCCTTATAAATTTTGGTCTTTTTCTTAACATACTGAATGACCATTTACACTCAGGACTGAGTCGCCAGTAGGCAGTACAGATGTAAAAAAAATGTGGATAGTGTCCACATGTGGACACAGATGATGCCCCCGCTTGCATATCATATAGTTATAAAGGGACATAACTGAAGAACGGTAAAAGTGACGCTACCCAAATTTGAACTTGATCTGAGTTTTGTGGTAATAAGCATTGTGTGTAAGTCTCATAACATTAGGTTGAGGTTAATTTAAGTAGAGAACAGAAACTCAAAATTCAGCAATTTTTCTATTTGTAAACACGCATAACTCTAAAACGGTTGTGTATAAGTTTTATAACATTTGGTTGAAACAAACTGAAGTTAGAGAACGGAAACGAAAAATTCAGCAATTCTTATGTTTATAAAGGGACATAACTCAAGAATGGTAAAAGTGTCGCCACCAAATTTCGTACTTAATCTGTATTATGTAGTAATAAGCATTGTGTATAAGTTTCATAACATTTGGTTGTGGCAAACTAAAGTTAGAAAACGGAAACAAAAAATTTGTACTTGATCTTAGTTTTGTGGTAATGAATATTGTGTATAGGTTTCATAATGTTTGGTTGGGGCAAACTTAAGTTACAGAATGGAAACTAAAAATTTAGCAATCTTTCGATTTATAAAGGGGCATAACTCAATAATGGTTAAAGTGACCATACCCAAATTCAACTTGATCTGTATTTTATCAGTGGAAGTCAAAATTAAACATTGCATTGTATAAAGCATTGATTGTAGTTGATTCAACTATAATCATGGACAAAGGAAGATAACTCCAATTTTAAAATTACACGATATTTAGAAGAAAATAA